GATGCCCCTCAGGAAGAGCCACCCTTTAGGTTTAATATATCTCTGAGTTTCTACAATGTGACTAGAAATATTAAGAAGCAAACTTAATATGATTGCTTAAATGGATTATTAGCAAAGGAAAGGAGAGTACAATAAGCCCTTAGATGGAATTCTGCCCTAGGGCAGATCTCTTAGCAGAAATCTAGAGTACTGGAGTGATTCCCTAGATGAGATTCTGTCTTTGGGTGGATCTCCTAGAAGAACTTCCCCTGAAGGAAGGACTTTACATCTGTTCACTGTTTATAAAATAATGTTCAACCACACCCATATGTAATCATTACCCCCAAACCTTTTATTATTTCCCCAATAATTTATGCTGTGAGACTTTTGAATAAACAACCATGGATTACCAACCAGCTTGTGGCCCCTATTCCTTTGTTCATCCATCGGCCAGCTGGGGGAAACATGATTGGCCCCAACTGCAACACAGGACCCTCAGATCATCATGAGATGATGACTCTCGGAACAACAGGAAAGTGACAAATTTGTTCAGAAAAACTACTCTAGAGGAGCCTAAGAAGACAAGATAACTATGTAAAGTGGTATCCTGGCAGGGCTTGGGGAACCATATAGGGCGGCAGGGATTGAATCCAGGTTGGTCATTTGCAAGGCAAGCACCCTTCCAACAATCTCTCTGGCCCTAAATGTCTACCTTTAAAATTTAAGTAGTCCATATATGGTACTGTGGGTATACGGGTATATGGCAAAGAGAGTACGGCTGGTATACAGGTGTTTGCCTTGCATGAGGCCAAAAGCCCTAATTTGGCCCCAAAACCACATTTTAAAATATTTTCTATTAGTTAGAAAATGTAGCCTACCACCCCTCTTAATTACACCCCTACAATCTCTTTTAACAAGAAAATCGCACTCAAGAGGTAGGAATGAATTGGTTGTGGTTGTGGTTGAGTACTATACACATAGAGATGTGAAGCCTCTGAAACCCTGAAATTCCCTAATATTATAAACCAATGACAGATCAGTAATAATAATTAAAGAGGGTCAGAAGATGGGGCTGGAGCAATACCACAGTGGGTAGGGCATTTGCCTTGCACACGGTCGACCCAGGTTCGATTCCCAACATCCCATATGGTTCCCTGAGCACCGCCAGGGGTAATTCCTGAGCGCAGAGCCAGGAGTAAGCCCTGTGCATCACCGGGTGTGACCCAAAAAGGGGGGGAAAAAAAAAAAAAAGAGGGCCAGAAGAGATCTCAAAGGGTTAGGGCACATGATAGGCTGAGTCTGAATTTGATCCCTGGTACTCCAAGAATTGCTGAAATGGCCTTGGTGTGCTCCCACCTTCACTCCCCAGAACCACAGGGTCCAAGCACTGAACTGTCAGGCTAGGCTAAGTACCACCAGGAGTGGCTCCTGGGCCTCCAGAGTACTGCTTCCCCTCCTCCCCAGACATACACACACAAAAAAAGAAACATAAAGGAAAAATTGCATTTATTGTCAACAGATCCAGTAGTCCTCATGGCTTTTTCCTGGATCTGTATTCAGGGATCACTTCTAGCAGAGCTCAGAGGACCATATAAGGTGCTGGATATCAAATCCATATTGGTTGCAGGTAAGGCAAGTGTCCTACCTGCTGTTTTCTCTCTCTGGCCCTAAGAAATACATTTCATAATAATAAAAAAAAAGCTTTAAGCAAAAAGAAAAAGCACTAGACACTATTATTAGAGGTGCCTTTTCAGTAGAGAAGATGAAAGTGCATTAACCCATTTTTAGACCTAGTTTACTTTCAATGTTGTATTATAGTCCTTCACTTGTGAATTATCAAATCAATAGTGTTTGGCATGTGTCTAATACTTCACCCACTGAGTGGCTTTTTTTCCTACTCAATGGGCTAGAGATAGTAGAGTGGATAAGGAGCCTGCCTCCCAATTGACACAGCAACTGACCCCAGCTGACCCTGGTTCAATCCCTAATACTGTGCCTCAAACACACCCAGGAGTGATTCCTCAGAACAAAGCCAGGAGGAGCCAGGAGTAAGCCCTGGGCACACCCAGGTGTGACCCAAAAAACAAAAAATAAAATGTGACATTATTTTATGTGACATTAAGAAAGAAAAAGAGGGGGCTAGATCGATAGCATAGTGAGTAGGGTATTTTTGCCTTGCAACTGGCCGACCCGGGTTTGAATCCCAGTATCCCATATAATCCCCTGAGCACTATCGGGAGTAATTCCTGAGTGCAGAGTCAGGAATAACTCCTGTGTATTGTCAGGTGTGACCCAAAAAGGGAGGGAAAAAAAAAATGCCTTGCATGCAGCTGACCCCGGTTCAATCCCCAGCATCCCATATGGTTCCCTGAGCACCACCAGGAGTGATCCCTGAGTACAGAGCAAGGAGTAACCCCTGAGCATTTCTAGGTGTGACCCAAAAAAATCTGTCACTGTCACTGTCCTCCCTTGTTCATTGCTCCAGCCAGCAGGCTCAGTAACACTGTGAGACTTGTTACTGTGTCAAAAGAAAGAAAAAGCTGCTGCCAATCAAGGTATTGCAGAGTGCTTACTTATGGCATTCTGTCTTCAATATTACAATATGAACAGAGGTTTAGAATTAAGGAAAAACTGGAATCAAACATAATTCAAATATTTTAAAGTCAGAAAGAAGATTATCTACAGATAGTAATTTTGAATACTGAGAAAGTAGTGTAGGGACGGGAGCAACAGTACAGAGGATAAGATGCTCGTCTTGCAACAGCTGACAGAGGTTCAGTTCTGTAGCAGCCCACAATGTTTCCAGAGCCTACCAGGTGTGGCCCAAAAGCAAAACAAACCAAAAAAAAAAAAGAAAGGAAAAGAAAGTAGTGTATATGGTATTATAATACAGTAATTTCTCCAACACTATTCCTAATCTGTGTGAATTATCACAAAGATAAATCAGTTTCCAGCAAATATAGGTGTAATTAATCAACTACTCTGGAAGAAAAACACCTCCCAAAGTTTGATCTGGAAATGGAAATCCACTATTTAGTAATAAAAATGGTGGAACATGTAAAAGAGCAAGCACTCACTCAGAAACAGCTGATCTTTTAGCATGGGTTCACTTCAAGCTTAGACAAAAGGTGGCCTGTGCGTAGTATTACGTTTCACACCCCTGCCCCCCAGCTACCCTGAAGAAATTGGTTCTGCTAAAAAACATCCATTCTTGAGCAATATTCAAGGAAAAAAAGAAAAATGCTTAACGTGGGAGGGGGGAGGAGGAGGTGGGGATTTGTTTACCACAAATGTACATGAAAAACTAACAGCTGAAAGCTAAGGGAATCGTCACCTTGGGGTTTCTTTCCCTTTTCCAAGGAGAAACTGGTGGATTCAAGCCTGTGTCAGCGCTCTCTCGAGCAAGCTCTGTCAACGTCCCTGCACACCAGCCATTTTAAAGTCTCACCCATCCTGAAACATGCAATGCAATTCAGGCTAAGTACTTCAAGTGCGATGTGCTCGAAATGCCAAAGCACTCCACGAAAACCTTTACATACATTTGCCCCGGCGCTTCTGCCCTCGTTTTCCCACCGGCTCGTGATAGCCACGCGACCGTCTCTTTGGAGAGCAAGTGACCCCTACATCCAGGAAGACCAGTCGGAGAGACGCCTTTCTTCCAAGCCCCATCACGTCCACGGTCACTTTCGCCCCCACCCCCGACACTTAAATTAAGCCGACAAGAGCTGACTGCTATTTTCGAACTCTCAGAGACGCAAACTTGTCGGCGATCGGAACACAAGTTGTCTTTTCAAGACTCCCCGCGGGGCAGGAGAACAAAACCAAAAACCCGGGCTCGAAACTCTGAGCCGTCCGGGCCAGGGCCCCCAAGCCGTCCGTCTTACCTGGCAGGTGACCAGGCCATCCGGGCCAGCGTTCCCTGTCCGCGGTGGCCGCCCGCAGCTGTCCCCACCCCCGGCTCTCTCCTTGCCCCGACCTCGGCTCTGGGGGCTGGCAGCCAAGGCACGCTCGAGGCTCCACCCCGGGGGAGAGCGAGCGAGCAGGCGAGTTGTCGGGACGACGACCCGGGCGCACGGGAGCTCCTTAAAGCGACCGGCGGTTGTGGGGCGCCCGCGCGCGGGGAACAAAGCGCCCGCGCCGGGGCGGCGACGCGGGGGTCTCCTCTACCCTCGACGGCCGCCCGGCCCGCCGCCGACCCGGGACACCGTCGTGGCCTTCATGCTGCAAAGGGCAACGGTTTCCCGTTTCTGTCCGCGCGGACCCCAGGGCGGGAGTCGGGGGCAGCCAGCCGGGCGCGCCGCGCCCGTCGCACCCGCGAGCCCCCCGTTCCTCGGAAAGGGTCGCCCCGCCACACACACACACACACACACACACACACACACACACACACACACACACAGCCCGGGTCTCTCCGAGCAGATGCGGCCTGAGAGCCCCGCGTCCCGCCGCCATCCAGTCCCGGTCTCCGCACCCGGCTAGCCCGGCCACTGCCAAGTTGAGGCCCTTTGAGCCCGCCGGGCTCCCCCCTGGCCCGCGTCAGCCGCCGGGGGCCGAGACCGACGACGCGCCCTCGCCTCGCGGCTCCGGAAACAAACCCCGCCGCTGAGGGGAGATCCGAGACCGTGGTGGTGGGGGGGTGTTGGGGAGGGCGGGGTCCGAGCAGGCGGAGGCCCCCCACCCCGCACGCGCACACACACACGCACACCCCAACCCCGACGCCCGCTCGCTGACCCAGGGGGCAGGCGCCCCCGCCCCTGCCCGCACCCGCAAGCCTGCGCCCGGCGTCGGGACCCGGGGGACGCCTGCGCAGAAGCGCCCGCCTCCGGGCCGCCGGGCCGCCAAGGGTGAGAGACAATGCCCCCTCAGAGGGCGAAGCGAGAGACGCGCCGGGGCGCCCGGACGCGGCTGCGCGCGCCCCGACAGCCCGGCGTGCCCGCGCGAGGCGCGCACCCACGCGCCCAACCGTCGCCGCGCGCGCGCCCCCGCCGGCTCCCGCGCGCGCCCCAACAGCGTCGGCTCACCTGAGCGGGGCTCCGCCTCCCCCCTGCTCCCTAGAAGGAGGCGGTGACCCTTCTCCCGGCCGACCCGACAGTGTCGGAGGAGGAGGCGCGAACGTCCTGGCAGGCGGCTCCGCGATGGGATTTTTTTTGCTGCCCCCTTCCGCCCACCCCCCCCACCCTGCCCACCCCGCCTCTCGTCCGCCCGCTCCTTCAGCCCGCTCGCCGCCGGACTCTCGAGAACAGCCCGGCGGCAGTAGCCGACAGCAAACGGAAGTGACGCAACGCAGCCCCGCCCGCCGGTTCCCCGACCACCACCACCACCACCTCCACCCCGTTCACGCCTTACGACGGAACTGACAGCCAATCGGCATGATATGGGGCGGGGCTAGTTCGGAAGTGCAGCCAGACGGCACGCGCCGCGAGATACGGAGCAATATACTTAGCCCCACCCCTCAGAAGCTGACCAATCACGGCGTCGAGAGCCCCCACCGTGTTTACTACCCACAGAATCCCCGAGTGCAGCGACCAATCACCGTTTGCTTTACAACAACACGTAGAACTGTTATCATACGCCTTCTGAGGCGGGATTTCCCACTCAACGGCCTGGACTGTAGAAAAGTGACTTTACGCCTCAGCCAATCACGATACGTTGGGACCGAGCAAGGCGCATTTTTTTTCCTACCTAATTTCACCAATCACGTTCCCGGCTGCCGGCTACTGCGGGAGCCCCGGGGCGGGCTCTCTGGACCCTCGGTCCGGCGATTGGCTGCTCCGGAAGGTTTTCTCCACCCCCGTGTCTCCCGGCCTGTTTGTAATCTCGCTCCCTCGCCTAGTGCTCTTCGCGGAATCCACAGAAGTTCTCACTTATTAAGACTAGAGAAAAATAAGACGAGATAATGCGATGCTTGTCTTTTGAATTCGTCAAAATGAAGGCTGAAAAAGTTCATTCAAAATTCCTGTCCACCGGAGCGGGAGATATAGCACCGAGGATGAGGCACTAGCCTGCCTTGCAATGCGAGTTCGACCCCCGACACTGCCTAAGGTCTACTGGCCCTTGGGTTTGCATTGTTTCTTGCGCACCCCCAGTGACACAGACCTGGTGGCAGAGTCTTGGTGGGGCTGATGTAGGCAGATAGATAGGGAAAGGTCCTGGACAATGAAACAGCTCAGCAAAACTTCTGGAAGGAAAATTCCAAGGCTGATCCACTTTGTGGATATGGATAAGACCGTGAGCAGCAGACCCTGAGGAGATGGGACCCCTCCCCATGAAGGAAATTCCTCAGATTCCCTTGGACTTCTCCCTCAATCTGATTAACTTTAATGATTCAGCCCAAAGAAAACTATCACCACTCCCAACCTCCTTGGTAACCTCCTTAGCAATGGACTTTTATCTGGGAAGAAGCCTCGCCTGGGAGTAGGTTAGAGAAACCCTATAAAGGCCACCTTGAACAAAAGAAGGGGGTGCATATGCTGCCCGAGCCCATGTGCTGCTTGTGCCCAAGCACATATGTCGTCCCATGTCACCCCACATCTCACCTCTTGAGATGTGTACTTTCATGCTATTGGGCCTTAATGCTGGGATGTATGTAAGGGTCTCTCCGCCCTGGGAGAAGCCCGGGTTCTCTCGAGCACATTACTCTCTCTCACCCTCTCTCCTTTCATACCTTAAAATCCTCCAAATAAAATCTGTTTATTTTACTTTACTTTAATTTACTTTACTGCTTGTCTACTCCTGAAATTCCTTTCTGTGAGCGAGACAAGATTCCAGTAACCCTGGGTCCCAGGTGGCAGAGAGGGATTGGGAGAAGGTGATTGTCTTTCTCCTCATGTGAGCCACCTGTGGGGTCCAGCGACATCAGGGCGCCTAAACAATCTGGCAGGCAGACTGTACTTGCAATATGCTTCCCACTCTGTGCAGAAGATCAAGTGAGTCTGCAGTCTCCAGAACCTTCCCATTTAATGGGAAGCTTTCAAAAGAGCACCTGCCTGGCTGCAAGGTGCACGCTGGGTTGAAGACCAGGTTTTGAGTAAGACCTGCCAGCACGACTTTCTTCTGGATAGAAATCTTCCTAAGGCTATAGAGAAGAGAGTTTATAAAGGCGTGTCCCAGTCAGAATTGTCTGGAAGTCCAACCTGTCTTGGGAGGTTAGAGGGTGGGAGAGAAAGAGAGAGAGAGAGGGAGAGAGAGAGAGAGATCCCAAGTATATTTATTAACGCTTATATATTTAAAAATGGAACACCCTGCTTCTTCAGAACACCCAAATATTATTACAGCTTATACAGCTTATCCCACCTCTTCATATGTTACAGAAATTTGCCTGAGAGTTATTTCTTTAAAGTCTCCATGTAAAGTCTGAAAGTAACTTCCAGTAATTGATTTCCTGATATTTTGTAGGCTGAACACCTATTACCTCAGTACTGCTCAAAGTATACCCTAGAAAAAATTAAATAAGAATTTAAAATATTTAGTAATTAACTTCAATAATTATGGGAAAAACTGTACAGTGAAAACTATAAAACATTTTGGAAGAAATCTATAGAAGACATTCACTACTCATGGATTTGTGGGCTTACTATTGTCCAGATGTTCATATTACCCAAAGCCATGAGCAGAGGAAGGAGAGAATGAGGGCCAAACTGGTTGGTATCAACTGTAGTTTATTCCAATCTCATCTCCAGTCTCCTCTGATTATCCTTCTTCTCTTTCCCCTTGGGGATCCCTCCAACCTACTCTTACTGCCTAGTTTATATAGAAATTATGTAGGGTGGGAACACAAAGGTGGGGTTGAACATTAACAGATTAACAAAGAGAGGTAAGGCCACTCCTCCAGGAGCTTAACTCAAGGACAAAATCTCATCTAAGGAGATTACCCCAGATTACTAGGAGATTCACTCAAGGGTGGGATTCCAGCCAGGGTGTGTTTCCATAGCTAGTAAAGGTAAAGGTAAAGGCCCTCCCGTTGATCGTCGATTTGCTCGAGCAGGCCCAGTAACGTCTCCATTGGAGACTTGGTTGTTACTGTGTCTGGCATATCGAATACTCTCGGTAGCTTGCCGGGCTCTCCGAGAGGGGCGGAGGAATCGAACTCGGGTCGGCCATGTTGGCCACTTGTAAGGCGAACGCCCTACCCACTGTGCTATCGCTCCAGCCCTCCATAGCTAGTAATCCACTTAAATAGTTGTAGTAAATTTACCTCTAATATTTCTAGCAATGTCATTTTGTATGAGCACAGTAAGAGATATATCAAGCTTCAAGTTTGGTTCTTCCTGAGGACATCTCACTATATATTCCAGACCACAGTCTTCAGGTTATGCTAGTTTTCCTAACCCCGGCAGGAAATTATTCAGTTACCTCTTTTGGGTCATGACAGAGTTTGTCCATGACAGTGCTATTAACTTATAGTTAAGTATTATGGCACTTGGCCTGGCCCATTTCGATGCCAGCATAGCTCACAGCTTGCCCTAGGTCCATTCAGTCCCTCGACGGGACCCTGCTTTTGGGGTTATTGGAACTAAGGGCAGTTGAGGCTTAAGTCAAGAAAGAAGATGTCCAGAAGTGAATATTATTCGAAGTTAACTAATTCCCAAGTTACAAAATCTTAATACTGTCTTCCTGTGTCCATACAGAAAGGACATTGCTTTAAACTATGCAAAAGACAAGAGAAGGAGAAAAGCAATATTTAATTTACAACACAAATTCAGTGTCCTCAGAAGCATCTGATCTTACAAATTAACATAATCTGATTAGGGGAAAAAGGTGATTAACTGGTTGGGGAGGAGAGTACAAAGAAGAGATTACAGATAAACAAAGGAATGGGAGTGTCTCCAGAGTGCTTAAACCTAAATTCCCTGTGGCAAGGGAGAAAGGACATACCAATGTTATCCTAAAATGTTTAGAACTACATTCCGATACTAAACTGGGACAACCCATCCTAACACTCATATAGAACTTCAAGGGCATAGTCAAATGATTGAGGTGGGGGAACACTTTCCAAGAAGTACTGGGTTTGAGGGGGTGATTTTTAGCTTACTGGATAGGCAGTTCAAAGATCAGTCCTGAGGTTATAGTGCTGCTTGGGCCATGTGGTGTTGGGGATTACCTGCACCATCTGTGATGCTAGGGGACCACCAGAACTACATCTGGGCCACTAGAACTATGCCTGGTAATGCTCAGAGTGCCATGTGGTGTCAGGAATTGAACCAGGTCAAAATGAAACTTCTTTTTTTTTCTTTTTTTGCTTTTTTTGGGTCACACCTGGCGTTGCACAACAGTTACTCCTGGCTCTTTCACTCAGAAATTACTCCTGGCGATGCTCGGGGGACTTTATGGGATGCTGGGAATCAAACCTGGGTCGGCCGTGTGCAAGGCAAACTCCCTACCTGCTGTTCTATCACTCCAGCCCCTATCTTTTCCTTTTTTCCCTTATGCAACTGAACCCAGGCAACACAAACCAAAGCATGTACTCTACCACTGAGTCATCTTCCCCATCTAGAGTTTACACTTTTTTTTTTTTAAGAGTTTCCACTTTAAAAGATAAAGAGAGAAGCTCAGGTATAGTCCCTAGCACCACATGGTCCTTTGAGCATCTCCAGGGAGCAACTCCCAAGTACCAAATCAGGAGTAACTTCCAAGAATCTCCAGGTTTGGCCCCCAAACCAAATAAATAGAATGGTTAAGATGATAAAATTATGTGTGTCTGGAGCAACAGGACAGCGGTAGAGCGTTTGCCTTACACCTGTGTTCGATTCTTCCGCCCTCTCAGAGAGCTGGGCAAGCTACCAAGAGTATCTCGCTGGCATGGCAAATCCTGACAAGTTACCTGTGACCCTGAGGTATTTGATATGCAACACAGTAACAACATGTCTCACAATGGAGACATTACTGGGCCTGCTGGAGCCAATCGATAAATAATGGGAGGACAGTGCTACCACAATAAAAACAATTTACACTGACATGTGAATAGACAAATAAATATGTCAAAACAGAGGGTCCAGGGCTGAAGCGGTAGCACAGCTGATAGGGCGTTTGCCTTGCGCGCAGCTGACCCGGGTTTGATTCCCAGCATCCCATATGGTCCCTGGAGCACTGTCAGGAGTAATTTCTGAGTGCACGAGCCAGGAGCAACCCCTATGCATCGCC